GAAAACAATGAAGTTGAAAACAATGAAGTTGAAAACAATGAAGTTGAAAACAATAAAGTTAAAGTTAAAAACAATAAAGTTAAAAATGAAGTTAAAAAGTTAAAAACAATAAAGTTAAAGTTAAAAACAATGAAGTTGAAAACAATAAAGTTAAAGTTAAAAACAAGTTAAAAACAATGAAGTTAAAAAGTTAAAAACAATAAAGTTAAAAACAAAGTTAAAAACAATGAAGTTAAAAACAATGAAGTTAAAGTTAAAAACAAGTTAAAAACAATGAAGTTAAAAAGTTAAAAACAATGAAGTTAAAAAGTTAAAAACAATGAAGTTAAAGTTAAAAACAAGTTAAAAACAATGAAGTTAAAAACAATAAAGTTAAAAAGGGACTTAACAACCAATCCTCGCCTTTAGGACCCTTCTCCAAACGGTCATAATTCAGACGCTAAACACCCTGGCATGAATGTACAGTGGTTACAACGTCCCAAAATTGTGTTAACCTGGGGGGGGGGGAAGGAGGACGCCCCAATTCGCTTAACAACCAGGCGATCCACTTAACAACCTGCGATTTACATGGCCGCCAGAGCGAGAAAGAGTCCTCAAAACTGACCGCAATTCCTTTCACCACCTCGCTTAGCAACGAAATGTCCCGATTGTTGTGGGGGGGGGGGGCTTGTGTTTTTGAACCCCACGGCGCAATCGGGGTGCGGAGAGATGCGTGAGGGGGGGGTTATTGCACCCCAAAAGAGAGAAGGGCAACCCCTCTTTTGGCGGGGTTCCAAGGAGGGCGGCCGAGTGTGAATTGCAGCCGAGACAATTTGCACTTTTTCCCCCTTGGTGCGGCCGGCCGCTCAGTTGTGTTTGTTAAGGAGGCCGCCGCGGGGTTGTGGGTTGGGTGCGCGATGCCCGAAAACAATAGCGCCACGCTGGGTGCTTTTTTTTCAAATGTAATAATCCCTTTTATTCTCTCCATCATCGGAAAAAGGGATTATGTCCAGCGGCTGGCCGGCCGTCTGGCTCGAAGTAAAGACAACAAAAATTAAGCAGAAACAGCAAAAATGTGAGGTTGAAAATGAGCCAGATCTGGAGAAATTAATCCCAGGAGGAATTCCTGGGGCTGGAGGGGCTGCGCAACATCCCCCCCCCCCTTGTCCCTCTGGGTCACGTGACACCCCTCCCACCCCCACCCCAGCCTCATTCCTTTGGAGGGGGGAACCTATAACCCATCTATCGCCTCTCCTGGTGATTGGCCCAAAGACACCCAGTTGCTTTCAACGCCTAAGGTGGGACTAGAACTCCTGTCTCCTGGTGATTGGCCCAGAGTCATCCGGTCAGCTTCAGTACCCATTGTGAAACTAGAACTCACCGTCTCCTGGTGGGTGGCCCAAAGTCACCCAGTTGCTTTCAACACCTAAGGTGGAACTAGATCTCCCTGTCTCCTGGTGATTGGCCCAGAGTCGTCCGGTCAGCTTCAGTACCCATTGTGAAACTAGAACTCACCGTCTCCTGGTGAGTGGCCCAAAGTCACCCCCAGTTGCTTGTAATGCCTAAGGCGGGACTGGAACTCCCTGTCTCCTGGTGATTGGCCCAGAGTCGTCCGGTCAGCTTCAGTACCCATTGCGAAACTAGAACTCACCGTCCCCTGGTGAGTGGCCCAAAGTCACCCAGTTGCTTTTAATGCCTAAGGCGGGACTGGAACTCGCGGCCTCTTGGCGATTGGGCCAAGTCATGCTGTCAGTATCAACACCCATTGTGAAACTAGAATTCCCTGTCTCCTGGTGATTGGTCCAAAGTTGTCCAGTCAGCTTCAACACCCATTGTGAAACTGGAACTCGCCGTCTCCTGGTGATTGGCCCAAAGTCACCCAGCCGCCTTTAACGCCTAAAGCAGAACTAGAACTCACCCTCCCCTGGTTTCTTCCACCCGACCTGGAGCTGTTTATCCTCTCTGTCCAGCAGCTGAAATTCCTCAGGTTTGACGGTGCGGGAGAGCAGATTCCACAATGGCCAGAATCCTGCCGGAGCCGGAGCCCCCTCTGGGGTTTTTTTCCGGCCTGCCAGACCGATTCCGAAATCTCCGATTTCACGGGCGGCTGCCCCGCTTCCTCCGACATGCGGCGGGTATTGTGCGAGGTCGGGAGTAAACGGAGGTCAGGCCGGAGGGGGGGAAATTCTCTTGCTGGGGGGTGGATCGCGTGGCCGAAGGGAATCCCACAATCAAGGAACCCCCAGGCCGCTTTCTCCAAATATTAAAACAATCCTAACTTAAGGTGTACAGGGAATCCTCAACTTCCGACAGTTCATTTAGTGACCATCCCAAGTTACAACGGCACAGGGAAAAAAAAGGGGACTTAGGACCGTTTCCCCCCCCCTCCCACTTACGACCGTTCCTAGCATCCAAGTGATCAAAATTTGGATGCTTGGCAGCTGACTCATACTTACGACGGTTGCGATGTCCCGGGGGCCCCCTTTGGCGACCTTCTGAGTCAGCGGAGAAGCCAGACTTGCTTAACAACGGCGCGATTCACTTAACAACCGCAGCCATTTTGTTTCGTAGCCAAAAAAAGAAAAAACCCTCGTAAAATCACCAACCCCTCGATTAGCAGCGTGGGAATCCTGCCAACTGCGGTCGTAATCCGAGGACTGCTGCATCGGGGATTTTCCCGTCGTTCTGAAGTCTTCGCTCCGTATGCTGGCTTGCATGCTGGTTTAATCTACTCTTTTTATTATTTTTTTGATGCCAGCCCATGGTGGCTTGCCGTGCAAACTCCAATCGAAAGAACGTGGCTTGCCCACCTCGCCTCTCCTCGGACAGTGGGTGGGGGGGTGGGGGGGGATCAGGCCTTCCCCATCCGGTCCGTCGTCTCACAGAGCCCCCCCCCCCCCCACCCACCCTCCGTCTGTCCGTCTTGGGGCTTGAGAGCTCTTTCATGAAGGACGGATGGTGTCCGTAGGAGGTGGAAGAAAAGGCCTCTTTGTCCAGACCAAGTTTGTCGAACATCGGCAT